GAAATTGTGTGATATTAAGTCAAAATTTGGACTTTATAACTTAAGATCACAATTCTGACTTGATAATTCGATAATTGATGAGTTCATAACTCATAATTTTTACATAACTTGCCAGTTTGACTTTATACCTTACAATTCTGACTTCATATCTCGAAATTTTGAGTTCATATCTCAAAATTCTGGCTTAATAACTCACAATTTTGAGTTCATATTTCACAATTCTGACTTGATAATCACAGTTTCAAGTTCATATCTCACAATTCTGACTTGATAACTCACAATTTTGAGTTCATATTTCACAATTCTGACTTGATAATCACAGTTTCGAGTTTAGATCTCACAGTTCTGACTTGATAACTCACAATTTTGAGTTCATATCTCACAATTCTGGCTTGATAACTCGCAATTTCAAGTTCATATCTCACGATTCTGACTTGATAATCACAGTTTCGAGTTCATATCTCACAATTCTGGCTTGATAACTCGCAATTTCGAGTTTAGATCTCATAATTCTGACTTGATAATCACAGTTTCGAGTTTAGATCTCACAATTCTGACTTGATAACTCACAATTTTGAGTTAATATCTCACAATTCTGGCTTGATAACTCTCAATTTCAAGTTCATATCTTACAATTCTGACTTGATAATCATAGTTTTGAGTTCATATCTCACAATTCTGGCTTGATAATCACAGTTTCGAGTTCATATCTCACAATTCTGACTCAATAATCAGTTTCGAGTTCATATCTCACAATTTTGGCTTGATAACTTGCAATTTCGAGTTTAGATCTCATAATTCTGACTTGATAATCACAGTTTCGAGTTTAGATCTCACAATTCTGACTTTATAACTCGCAATTTCAAGTTCATATCTTACAATTCTCGATAATCACAGTTTCGAGTTCATATCTCACAATTATGGCTTGATAACTCACAAATTTGAGTTTAGATCTCACAATTCTCACTTAATACCACAATTTTGAGTTCATATCTTGCAATTCTATCGTGCTATTTCGAGATGGCAGATAGCACTCTACACTTTTAGAAAAAGGTTGACTCAACTTAAAATTGTAAGACAGCTTGCTGCAGAGCCTTTTTTAAATTAACTCAACTTTTAACCCAAGTACTTGCGTCAACTTTAAATAAGCTAGTCTTACAATATGAAGGCGAGTCAACACTTTAAATTTACAATGTGCCCTTTTGAATAGAGTATTTTTGTATTTCTCTCTTCTTTTTTCCCCAAAATAATTGGGTTTATTGTATATTTACATTCCTCTTTTAGTGTTCTTGTTATTTATGCACCCGGGGTCTGAGCGTAATTTAAATTCTCTGTATGTCTGTACATGTGGCAGAATTGACAATAAAGATGACATTTTAACTACTTAATTACCACTGTAAGTGCATATGCATTCAAATGAGCATGAGTTACATGCATGTTACAGAATGACACGCTCCAATTTCCCATGCATGTAACCTGTGCTTGTCTACCACATAATGGTGTGCATGCGATCAGCACATGTGTTTGGCAGAGATCACGCAGCCAGAGGAGAAAGAGCTGAGCTGAAATGTGTGCCTGTTTGACTTTGACCCAGTGACCAGCAGCCTCCCTCCCTCCCCGAGACACACGGGCAGAGCAACACAAACACAGCCCAGGAGGGGTGTGTGTGTGTGTTTGAGTGCCTGGGAAATCACGCGTGGCACGTGGAGCTCCGGCTTGATCCTCGTGACAGTGAAAGTGAAAGTCTGTCTGTATGAATAACGCCGTGTCCTGACATCATCTGCCTGATAACACGCTAAAACGTGCAGGTGGCACAGTGAGAGCTTTCAAAGAAATCACTGACGATGATGAGCACTAGATATGACGCTGGCAACGTGTTCTGGCACTGACAAGAGTGTTTCAATTGGGATTTAAAATGTCAAGTGTTCACACGCTTGTTGAAAGAATGACTTTCAGACATGTCGATTCAAGGCCTGAATAGTGTTTTAAAAACAAACACAGGTCCTTGAAAGTGCTGGAATTAAATTTGGAATTAAAATTTATGCTTTTATTTCAACAGTTGTCAAAAACGAAAAGAAAAAACATCTTAAATTGAAATCATGTACAAGACGTTTGACAAATAATGCTCATTTTATCAACATTTCATTAATTTTCCTTCAGCTTAGTCCCTTTTTCCTCAAGGGCTGCCACAGTGGAATGAACCGCCAACTATTCCAGCATTTGCTTTATGCTGTGGATGCCCTTCCAGCTAGAAACCAGTAGTGGGACTCACACACACACACACACACACACTCTCAAACACTTTGGCCAATATAGTTTATCCAATTGTTTGCACTGTGGGGGAAACCAGAGCACCCGGAGGTCATCAATATTTCATAAACCGAATATTATTATTTAAGAAATTTGATTAAAGTTCTTTGAACCATGACTGAGTCAAAAATAATAATTTTGCTGCTTGTTCAAACTACTTATTTACAATAAGCTGAAACAACACAATTCTTGAGATTTGTTTTGGTTGCTAGTTTTGTGTTCAATCCAGTTAAGTGTGTTAAGTTATCTTAATCGATTTGTGTTGTGGCAACATAAATGAATTGTGTGGAACCCAGCAGTTTAATTACTGACGTAATTTTTAACGTAAATATTAAGTGTAAGTAAAATGTTAAGTAAAGTAAAGAAATGCTAGGGTGTGAATTATAAAAAGACTTGTTTTAAAATGATTGGTGCTTTAAAACGTTCTTGAATCTCGCTGTTCATGACAGCGTGAAAACCCTGTGGCACTTTGCACAATAGCACCGATAACTGCGGCCAGAAGTTAACGAAAATCCATTTATACTATTTATTAAATTAGCCGTTAGTTGTGTCATTAACGTAAACCCCAACTCATAACCCAACCTTCGCAGTAATGTAAAAACAGTAATTATAACAAGAATCGTTTACACTATTTATTAAATTACCCATTAAATAGTATTTTATTAACGTCTACCCCTACCCCAACCCTTGCAGTAATGTAAAACAGTGTTTATACCAAGTATTATTCATACTATTTATTAAATTAAATTGTAGTTTGTATTGTCTACCCCATCCCAACCCTCACGATAATGTAAAAATAGTAATTATACCAAGTATCGTTCAAATTATTTATTAAATTACCCATTAAACTGTCTTTTTATTGTCTACCCTTACCTCAACTCTCACATTAATCTAAAATATATGAACTATTGTTGTACAGTGTCACAACAATTATGCTATAGTAATGTGCGTAACCGCAGCTGTATCCTTTTAAACTTTACCCAAAACAGTAGCGTCATGTATGCATCGTAGAACGGTCTTTGTAGAACGGCACAGTGCCAACTACTGGCCTGACATGAAGATTATAACATGTTAAGCCACTTTTTCGACATGCGTGTGAACAGGAATTGGTTAAAATATATGCATTTTTTTAAAATGGTAAACAATTTGTATTTAGCACATTGTTGTTTTGTAAATGTATCCATAACAGCAGGTACGGTACTTGCTTGGCTACTGAATGTAATTATACATTATTTCCTGCTATAATAAGCATTCAACAAGGACTGATTAATTTTTAAACTAATTCCAGTACTTTAGAATCAATTTAGCCTACAAGACAATGCAAAAACAGGCTACTAGTGTAGATATGGTTGCAATACATCAAGATGAGCTTTTTGTAGTTTACAGAGACATTCGGTTATAGTGTTGTGTATCTACATGGAAGCCACTTTGCTTATTAATATTGCATATGATTAGCTTGTACAATAAACAGGTTGAGTCATTTAAAACTGATTCATGAGGAAGGCCACGTGATGCTAGCAAACAATATTCTGGTTTATTATTTGTTACTGCTGTATTATAAGTGATCGTTATCCTCTCACATGTCCATGAGCTGACATGACATGCACGTGTTTGGTTGAATGTAAAGGAGGAGAGCTAATAATAATGATGATGATGATGATGAAGGTGATAAAGTTTAGTCACCAGCACACAAGCGTGACTTAGTCAATGATTCACAATATGAAAACAAAGGGAAACACCTTAACAGTCGCCAACGCTACCGACTGATAAAATGGAGACCACGTGCGCGCCAAAATAAAAAAAAAACCCGGGAACATAATTATTGCGCATACAGTTAAGTTTACAATCATCCTAACTTTATTTTAGCAGCAAGTCAGTCGGTTAGACCCCGTGAAAGAGCTTCGGGATAAATTCATGAGGTTGATATGCCTTCTGGGAAGAGCACAGACCGACTGCACGTGAGTTTTGTTTATGTGCAACTCGAGACCGGAAACATCGGTCGTCAGGCACGCGATCCTGTCAGAAGCGTTTGACATCAAAAACTGAAGCGTACATAGGTTAAAATAATGTTTTGTGAGCGAAAACGACTAAATAAATCGACTATAAGGATATACAATAATAGCTGAACTCTATCAAAAAATACATAAACAGCATATTGATTTCATTTTCCAAAGTTCAAGCTAATATTAAAATGAAATGCTATCAAAACTGGCTAATTGAGATAAAGTTGATAGTAGGTAACATTTTAACATTGGATTTAACCTTGTAAAACAACATTATCACTGTTTAAAGTTAGCAAAAAACACTTTTCTGAACTAATATTTTTGGCTAAAACAGGGGAAACGACTGTAAATGTTAAAATTCACCCAAATATGAAATATGTCATTATTTACTCTTGTTAGAAGTAGTTTCATACCTAATTCTGTTGGACAGACGTAGTTATTATGAAGAAAACCTGTTTATATGTTTATTCCTACTATGAAAGTTATAATTGGGTAACATCAACCAACATTTTTCGAAATATCTGCTTTTATTGTTTAATGTAATACAATGTTTAGCCTAAAACCACGTGATAATAAGGTAATTTACATGTTTAGGTAAAAATATGCCTTTAATATACATTACTAGCTTTAGCTACATGTTTATCTAAGTCAAATGAATTAATAGTAATAATATTGTTATGAACTCACCTGGACTGTCCATAATGCGCGTTCCCGATGCTTCTTGAGGTAAAGCAGGTGGTTTGAGTGATGTTCAGAGTGTTTCAAATCCCGAAAACTCAACGTGCATTAAAGCAAACTCAAAATTCAGAAAGTCAGATGCTGTTCAGGTATAAGCAGGGCACTGTGCCGATCCTCACTCTCTGAAATCTGTCCTTAAACTGTTATTATGGTGAAGAGAGCGGATGTCCGGGCATCATCATCATCATCAAGGCAGATCTGAGCAACTAGTTTAAGACCAGCACAAGCATCACTGACACACTCAGCAAACACGTTTTCAGGTGTCTTAGAAATGTGACTGAGCCTTTCCCCCAGTAGCTCCCCCTCCTTTATTTGCCCTTTAAAATTGTTTGTGTTATTGTGTGCCAAGGATTGTGGCTCTGTTTCACACGCCCTCTGTGCTTCCCAATCGCGCTGCAGTGGTTGCTCCGCCTCCTTTTTCTTAAGCTCCGCCCCCTCCTCTATGGAGGCACGTTAGTAGCAAAATTCATTTGGAAATGTAATATGCAAAATGGCAGCGCAATATGTAAAATTGCTCTATCACTGTGTTTAGATTAGCAATCCTTGGTGCAAAGTTAAATTACCTACTAATTTTACTGTTTCAAATATTGAGAAATTAAACTGAAAATGTAAAATTCAAATTAGTATGTAGCCTAATTTACATATTAAAACAGTGGTTGTAAATGGGAAATATGGAATAATATGATTTCATTTTAATTTTGCACCAAACTTTTCTCATGATATGGAGCAGGGGTCACCAATCTCGTTCCTGGAGGGCCGGTGTCCCCACAGGGTTTAGTTCCAACTTGCTTCAACACACCTGCCTGGATGTTTCAAGTATACCTAGTAAGACCTTGCTTTGCTTATTCAGGAGTGTTTGATTAGGGTTGGAGCTAAAATCTGTAGGTCACCGGCCCTACAGAAACAGGTTTGGTGATCCCTGATGTGGAGTGTTGCCCCTCCACCTTATGCTTTAGCTCCTCCTCCTTTATCGAGGCACATCAGTAGCAAAATTCATTTGAAAATGTAATATGCAAAATGGCAGTGCAGTATGTAAAATTGTAACTGTGTTTAGATTAGCAATGTTTGATGCAAAATTAAATTACCTACTAATTTAATGTCTTAAATGTTGAGAAATTAAACTGGAAATGTAAAATTTAAATTAGTATGTAGCCTAATTTGCATATTCAAACTATAGTTGTAAATGGAAATTGTAAATTATATGATTTACTTTTAAACTTGCACCTAACTTTCCACATACATTGCCATTTTGCCTAATTTATTTAAAAAAAATTACATCATTAATGGGAATTTTACAACTTACATCTAATCATATCCTATTTTACATATACATTTTTGCTCTGCCGTTTTGCATATTATCTTTAAAAGATTTTGTCACTAATGTGCTTCCATACTCCCGCTCGTCTGATGACTGACTGCACTCGCTTGACATTGGAATGCCTGCCGCATGCGCGCGCTGCATGTGAGCGCTGCCCTACTGACACACATTTTATGCAAATGAGCGCGCCTCGCGGAGCGGCACGTGTATCGGGGGAGGAGCGCAGCGTGACTGCTGATCCTGTGTTTCCCTCCAGAGCTGCATCTGCTCGGGATCCGCTGATAGGAGCTGCGCCACCGAGGACTCGCCCGAATGAGCAGCGCATCAAACGGCCTCTGTTCTCAGAAGCTCCCGGGGGCCGCACGTTTTTGGCCTGCATCACGATGATTTGGATGTAGGTCATGTGCCTAAATTAGAGACCCATATTTTGATTCAATAACCTGAAAAGTCACTGTGAGAGGCACCTGCTGTGCCTGTATGATTTAGGCAACACCTATATTTATATTAGTGTTGCTGTCAAAAGATAAATCGAGATTAATGGCTTTTAAAATAACACGCTCACTTGTATATTATATTTACTATTTATATCTAATACAACTTTTATATATATATAAAATAGGTAAAATATTTAGTTTTTGTGTGTGTATATAGGCATATATATATATATATATATATATATATATATTAAAGTAAGAATTATTCGCACTCCTTTGATTTTTTTTTCTATTTTTAATATTTCCCCAATGATGTTTAACAGAGCAAGGAAATTTTCACAGTATGTTTGATAATATTTTTTCTTCTGGGAAAAGTCTTATTTGTTTTATTTCGGCTAGAATAAAAGCAGTTATTAATTTTTAAACAAAATTTTAAGGACAAAATTATTAGCCCCTTTAAGCAATTTTTTTCCCGACAGTCTACAGATCAAACCATCATTATACAATAACTTGCTTAATTACCCTAACCTGCCTAGTTAACCTAATTTACCTAGTTAAGCCTTTAAATGTCACTTTAAGCTGCATAGAAGTGTCTTGATAAACATAGTCAAATATTATTTACTGTCATCATTCATTCATTAATTTTCTTTTCGGCATAGTGCCTTTATTAATCTGGGGTGGCCACAGTGGAATGAACCGCCAACTTATCTAGCACGTTTTACGCAGCAGATGCCCCTCCAACTGCAACCCATCTCTGGAAAACATCCATACACTATCACATTCATACACTACGATTAAGGAAAATTAATGTATTAAATTATTTTGTAATTAAATATATATATATATATATAATATTTAATTATATATTTTTGATTATATATATTTATCTATCTATCTGTTGTTCCATCCATCCATCCATCCATCCATCCATTGTTCTATCTATCTATCTATCTATCTATCTATCTATCTATCTATCTATCTATCTATCTATCTATCTATCTATCTCCGTCTGTCCGTCCTTCCATCCATCCATCCATCCATCCATCTATCTATCTATCTATCTATCTATCTATCTATCTATCTATCTATCTATCTATCTATCTATCTATCTATCTATCTATCTATCTATCTATCTATCTATCTATCTATCCATCCATCCATCTATCCATTGTTCTATTTATCCATCCATCCATCCACTGGTCTGTCCATCCATCCATCCATCCATCCATCCATCCATCCATCCATCCATCTATCCATTGTTCTATTTATCCATCCATCCATCCACTGGTCTGTCCATCCATCCATTGATCCATCCATCCATCCACTGTTTTATCCATCCATCCTTCCATTGTTCTATCCATCCATTAATCCCTCCATTGTTCTATCCATCCATCCATCCATTGTTCTATCTATCCATCCATTAATCCCTCCATTGTTCTATCCATCCATCCATCCATGCATGCATCCATCTATCCATTGTTCTATCCATCTATCTATCTGTCCATCCGTCCGTCCGTCTGTCTGTCCGTCCGTCTGTCTATCAAGGTTTTCTAAGAAGCTTATTCTGCTCACCAAGGCTGCATTTATTTGCTCCAGAAAACAAACAACACAAATAATAAAATTGAGAAATATTATTTAAATGCACAATAACTGCTTTCTTGTTTAGGTTTCAAAATTGTATTAATTCCTATCACTCAATGCTTTATTTTCAGAATTATTACTCCAGTCAGCAGTGCCGCATGATCTATTCAGAAATCATCACTGTATGACTATATGATGAGTTATGACAATGATCAGCTTTACACCACATAAACATATTACAGTTTACTATATATTCACATTAAATATAGCTCTGTATTGAAAATCACGAAACATCCTGATCCCACTGATCCCCCTAAACCTTTGAACAGAATAACTCTATATGTCGAGTCGGTGTTCATTTACATTCTATTTGTTAATTGTTAACATACAGTGAGCTCAAACAATATCCTTTATGTGCAGTCTTGCATGAGCTTTTCATCTCCATTACTGGCAGACGACACCAGCTTAAGCAGCCTAGCTAGGCTCCCAGCCAAAACTAGCTATTTCCAGCTTAGACTAGGCTGGTCAAGCTGGTTTTAGCTGGTAGGCTAAGTCCTGACTGGGCATGGCCTCTAGAACCAGACTGGTCGACTGTCCTACCAACTTTGGCTGGTTTAAGCTGTTTATTTTAGCTCTGTAGATATGAAGTTAAGCTTCCTCATAATGCTTGTAGAGTTTAAGTGGCTTTATACGTGTGCAACAATAAAGGAAAATGTAAAGTTAATATTTAAGATGTGTAAGAAGTAATAGTTTCGCTTCGGGTCTTAGTACAGCTCTATATTGTGTGCAGATGAATGATTGTAATGTTGCTCTGCCACCTGCTGGTCTGAGTGAATATTACAGCATTCTGCTCATATCTATCTATCTATCTATCTATCTATCTATCTATCTATCTGTCTGTCTGTCTGTCTGTCTGTCCGTCCGTCCGTCCGTCCGTCCGTCCGTCCGTCCGTCCGTCCGTCCGTCCGTCCGTCCGTCCGTCCGTCCGTCCGGCTATCCATCCATCTTTCCATTCTTCCATTCTTCCTTCCTTCCTTCCTTCCTTCCTTCCTTCCTTCCACTCATCTATAGTATCTGTCTATCCATATTATTTGTCCATCCATCCATTTATCCATTCATCCATCCTTCCTTCCATCTATAGCTGTCTATCCATAGTATTCATCCATCCATCCACCGGTCCATCCATCCATCCATCTATTTATCCGTCTATTTGTCTGTTTGGCTATCCATTCATCTTTCCTTCCTTCCTTCCTTCCTTCCTTCCTTCCTTCCTTCCTTCCTTCCTTCCTTCTTTCCACTCATCTATAGTATCTGTCTATCCATAGTATTTGTCCATCCATCCATCCATCATTTATTGATCCTTCTACCATCTATTGATCCATCTCTCCCTCCATCCATCCATCTGTTTGTGTGTCTGTTTGACTATCCATTCATCTTTCCTTTCTTCCTTCCTTCCTTCCTTCCTTCCTTCCTTCCTTCCTTCCTTTCTTCCTTCCTTCTTTCCACTCATCTATAGTATATGTCTATCCATATTATTTGTCCATCCATCCATCCATCCATCCATCTTTCCTTCCGTCTATAGCTGTCTATCCAAAGTATCCATCCACTGGTCCATCCATCCATCCATCC